CTTTGCAAGGAGTAAGAGCTCAGTAGGTAGATATGATAGAGTGATTCAATAATAAAAACGCGTTAATATTACGCGTTTTTTATTTGTCTTGAAAAGGTTGTGGTTGGATCGGTTGGGCTAGCTAAGCGATCCAGGGATTTCACTTGGATAGTATCACGTGATATGATCACATGACCATTGGAGCTTGCAGGAGCTTCAGTTGGAGCTTGAGGATCTTGGGCTCCCTTCAAGCTCCAGGAGAGACGAAGGTTCTATATAAGACTGGCACTTCTGCCACTAGATAGGAGCTTCGTGCTCAACTTAGTTATCAATCTTATCATATTAGTTTGACATCTTTGATACAAGTAACGAGTTCACTTCCAAGTGAACAACCCGATAGTCTTCTTCTAATCATAGCATACCAACCAGCGAACACCCAGCCAAGTTTAGTTAGCCAGTTTGAGTATTCGTTACAGATAGGTGCTATCGCCGACGTTTGAATCTCAAGTACCGTGTATATTAGAATATAAGATAACATTTTTAATAAATAAAAAGTTCGTCTAGAGGTAATAAGGAACCTTATCTTATTAAAAAAACAGTAATATCTTATAAAATAAGTTGCCCTACTTTTTTAGAGTAGTTCGGTTAACTAACCCCCTTATCTTTATATTTTACCCCTAACTACGTCTAACCTATTTAATGTTCGAACCTATTCCATATCTATGATTCACTATATTATTATATAGAGAATACGAAAAGTGTGACGGTTCTTACCGCCACCATGCCTCAAACCAGCCCCTGGCTGGCACCCGGCGTGCCCCGTGCTTCCCGAGCCCGGCTCGGTTAGCTATGGCTTGGCACACCTCCGGTATATAAGAGCTTCCAGCTCCTGGGCTTCTGTCCTTTCTTTCTCTTCTCTCTTCAGCTTAGAATCCTCGAATAGACAGTTCCACAGTGCCCAACTTACACCAGGCGTAGTCGTGCATTCGTGCGCGGTCCATCAGCTGTGCGTGTCGTCACAAAAAGGAATAGGTCTAGAAATTATTCTAGGTAGTACTTATAGAGAATAAGTTATAAATTAAGCGAGTGATTATAATTACTCGCTCGTACCCGCTATATAAAGTCGACTTTCCTTACTTCTAAATCTCTAAACTTATGTATTATAATAGTAACTACTTTGATATAATATCTTATATTAATTCATATAATCGCTATATCTTTACCGACTTCTATTCTAGATAATTACGGGGTAAATATATAGGGTATTATACGAATAGCTTTAATTTTTATAGAATTCATATACGAGTTTTTTGTATAGTATCTTTAAAATAAAGTTTTGTTAGTCTACTCCTTTAATTACGAGTAATTTAGAGTACGTGGTAGGGTTGAAATAAGTATTAGAAAACTAACATAAAAACATTAGATTTAGATCCTAGCTCTCTGATTAGTTAAAGCTATCAGATATTAGTTGTTCGAAGAATTAGAACCTTATCTTATAGGACTGTTTATCTTATTCACAAATGTTATCTTATATTCTAATAAATACGGTACTCTAGTTACGTCAAGTCGTAGCACCCAGATAACTCAAGTATCAATAAAAGCTACTCAATAAACACGTCAAGTCCCCACAAACTCAATTCCTATCCAAGTAGCGCTAACGCGGACTACAAAGATCGACGTACTCACTCACGATTCATGACATAAAACAGAACAACAAAAGAGTCCAGACTAGCTTTGTGATTTCCATATACCTACATCACGCGGTACATCTCCCAAATCTCATCAACCCTCAGAAACCCCCACTCACCCCATCCAAGTAGCCACAATAACACTCAGCAGTATCTCCGTCGGAATCCCCGTCTCATTAACCACACACTTCCTCACGCCTTCAAACCGAAACCTCCCATCCGCCTTCGCAAACAGCGGTTCCCACTCCCCAGCTTCCCTCTCACGCGCGTTGAAAAGAGCGGTCATCAACAAATCAAGAGATCTAGAGACGTCATCGTTAGTGGCGGGGCCAGTATATATATGTTGTAGAATGCATGCATGCATGCATGCTCACCTCGCCCGCCTCTCAGCAAGGAAATCCATCTCCCCCATCCCAGGCATAACAAAATCATTAACCAGCACCATCGCGCCCTTTTTCAGCGCAGGCACCAAGCTCCGCAAGATATCCACGCAGGACTCATCCGGCCAGTCATGGAGTACAGAACGAAGCAGATACACCCCCGCCCCTTTCACAGGCTGTTCCTCAAACGCGTCATGCGCCATGAACTGGACTCGGTCCCTCAACTCAGGCTGGTCCTCTATTTCCTCGAGGAACATCCGCTCCCCATTCTTCACCACCTCCTCAAAATCCTGCACCGTGAATATAAGTCCCGGAAACGCCTTTGCAAGCGCCACACTAGCATGACCCATCCCCCCCCCCAACATCAACAACACGCCCCTTCCCAAGAGCCGCCCAATCAAAGTTCTCAATCAACGGCTGCAACGGCTGCTGCACACTCCAATTCCACCTCATAAACGCCGCGAACTGTGCCGCTCGCACGGGATGCTCCGCCTCGAGCTCTTCAACCATCGGCCGATGTGCGTCGTTGGCCAGCGCCCATGCCGTGTCCGTTGGCCCCGTGGACGTTCCGTATCGTCGCATCGCGCGGGAGAAGCAAGGGGCAGCGGGGAACATCTCGTCGACGAGCATGCCGACCGTGGCGCGCATGACGGGGTCGTGGGCAAGGCGGGTGGAAATGGGGGTATGTGAGATGGACTCTGGGATGGGCTCGGTGAAGATGCGGTTGGTTATTGCGTGGCGGAGGATGCGGCGAAGATGTATATGTGGGATACCACAGGTATTTACAAGTTCAGCGATGGTGATAGTCCCTTCGCTGGGGACGTGTTTTGCAATTCCAGAGTCGTGGATGATATGCAAGGAGGCGAGGTCGAATAGACCTCCCTAATTATAAACTTGTCAGTGTACTTGTACATGAAGTCGAGACCGATAAGAGAAAGCAAGCAATGAAACCCATAGGGCATGTGAAGATTAGTTACTAAGTATATATATATAACAACTTACAGAAAGCCCCATAATCCCCCCCAAAGGCCCCAACAACATCCGCTGCATCTTCACCACCGCTTCCAAATCCATACTAATCATCAGCGTGGTAACACTTCTAATCAAATACTCAACCCGACTCGAGTAGAGTACTAATCGAATTGAGTTGAATGAGTATGATTAGGTGATTCCGTTGAGTTGAGTTGAGTTGAGTCGGGCCGACACTACTCGAGTTGAGTTGAATAGCGAATTTCACTACTCGAGTTGAGTTGATTAGGTGCTACTACTCATCTCAACCACTCGAATTTACCACGCTGCTAATCATTTCCCCTTGCTCACTCGTCGGCTTCCCTCCAGGAAAACTCAATTCCAGTGCCTCCTCATCGTAGAAATCATTGAGCTTTTCCGCTGCTATTGAAATGGCTCTGGCTACTTCGATGATTTGATGATGGTCTGGCATTGTTGTATAGCAACGAGTTGAACGTGAGTAACGTAATTTGATTAGTTGTATAGATTTGGGATTATTCAGAGGCCACGAGTGGTGCGATATGAGTCTGGTGGGATTACATTGTTGGAACGGGTTCATGAAGTGAGCCATTATTGATTGAAGAATGGGTTGGTTAGCTGGTTGGTTGGTTGGGTTAGTTGGGCTCATGGTAGTATTAGTTTGGCGTAAACCATGTGAAAACATGCTATAATTAATGAATCTCATTTTCTTTATAGTAACATAATTACAATACAGAATACTATTTTATAATGGAGGAACATGTCCGTTAGCATCCTTCACACATCCATCATAAGACACTAAACAAAAAAAAAAATACACGAATTCATTTCTTCTTGGGTTTGAAAATTCTCATCTTTCATTCAATCTTCAATCCTGTCTCCCCTCCCTCTTATCCTTCTCCTGTCCTCCACAAAAATGTAGACACACGACATCTATATACACCCTCATGTCAATCATCTAGTCCATTTTACCGACTTCCTTCAATCAATTCAATCAATCCATCCTCTTCTCCCTTCCTTCCTTCCTTCCATCCATCAATCTTCTCTTTACAATTACACAAAAAAGAAAGAAAAAAGATTCCCTGGACCCTTTTCTCGCCTACACCAGAAAAACAAAAAAAGACAAAAAAACAATACATTATCATACCCAATACGAGGAGCATGTAAAGTAATCAAGAATGAAAATGCTAACCAACCCCCCGGCTTCCAGAAAATAGTTTTGCCTCTCCAAATATATATGTTCGCCCATCCAATACATGTAAATGCCGAATGCAAAAACAAAAACAGCAAGGCAAGAGAACTCCACACTGCCCCGGCTATGCCTTTTGCCAATGGGGACAAGTGATGCAAAAAAAGAAGAAAATCCCGTGGTATCCGGAAGAAAGAAGAATTATAGGTCTCGTAAATATTGAGTCGAACTTGGACTCGCTCGCTAATATGCTGGAATAATCTCTGCGTCGCCATTCCATTGTAGGCTCGGCCTGCTCATGCGCCGAGAGTGGCAAATTTTCCCTCAAACGCTTGAAGTTTCTCTTGCTCGATGGCTTTCTGGAGTCTTCTGGTCTCGCGTTGAGCTTCTTCACGCTCATTTTGGAGTTCCATGACTTCGATTTGGGCAACATTCATACGGCCAACCACTTCTTCCATCTCTCGATCAGCATCAGCAAGTGCTCTCTCAAGATCCATCACTCTTTGTTTGAGGAACTCCATCTTGGAGTCTTCAGAAACTGACATCGCCTTACCAGATGAGGTAGACATGATTCGTGGCATCTTGGTCGATCCAGCAAACAAAGGCGAGAGGGGAGATTTGGGACCAAAAGAACGAGGTGACTGAATTCCAGTCTTCATCCGCGAAAGCTGGATGTTGTGGCTAGACTTGAGTTCTCTGATTTCCTCCTCATGCTTAGAGAGCTTCTCTTCGGAGGCTTGTTGAGCAACCATCAGCTGTTCTTCAAGAACCTTGAGTTTACCTTGCATGAGCATGATCTTGGTGGCGTTCATCCTTTGCTCCTTTTCACCACGCTCGACGGTTTCCGCAAGGCGCCGACGGAGGTTGGTGTTTGCCGAAAGTTGTTCACGAACTTGTTTGGCAAGCTCTTCGACACGATTTGCTGAAGCGCGAAGTTGCTCTGAAAGGGCGAGCTCTTCGCCTGCATGATCTTTCTCGGCAGACCTAAGGGAAATAGCTTCACCTCTCAAAGAGTCGACCTCTTGCTTAGCAATGTCCCGTTCAGCTACCGCTGTAGCGAGGCTTCGTTCCAATTGCTTCATGGCCAATGAGGTTTCTTCGCTCATGGGCTCTGAGCTTTCTAATTTCTGAATCCGATTCAGCGACTCCGCATAGGCTTTTTGTAAGTCCTTGTAGGCATTTTCGAGCCCTTCAGATGTAATGTGACTATCATCTGGTGATCCGTGGCTTCGAGGTCGGCCACCCATTGGTATTAGAATATCGTGTTCCTGTAATAGAGTTCGTAACGATCCAATTTCCTGTTCTGCTCTGTCAAGGTCCATCTTCAAACCACTCAATCCCTTTTCGCATTGCCATTTCTGCTCTATAGCTTCATCTGCGCGGCGGCGGAGGGCGTTGATTTCTTCCCTTAAGTTTGCAACCTCCCGATCATAACCTAATCTTCTTGGAGAATCCGACAAGGCCCGATCTCTCTCCATTTCCAATTGTCGAATTTTCTTTTGGTTCTCACGGTTTTGGTGCTCCTGACGCTCGAGTAGACTTTTCATGGCACGGTGTAACGCGTCTCGCTGAAGCTCAATATCTTTGACCCGCTCAGCAAGAGCTTCTCTCGACTCGGTGACTTTAACGGATGATGATCTTGCGAGAGACGGTGGTCGTGGTCGTGAGATCATTCCCTGAGCCACGGAATTTGATCTTCCCAATCCCATGGAAGCTCTTGGATTCATCATTGACGAAGGTTCCTCTGAGATACTACCAAACCTCCTCAAGTTTTGCTGTGCGTGGGCCAAGGTCGTATTCTCTGTCTTCAGTGTTTGGAGTTCTTGTTGCATTTTCGATTGCTCATAGGTCAGTTTCTCGTGCTCCGCAGCCTGAGCCTCCAACCCTTCCACACGAGCACGTAATTGAGGAACGATCTCATCGCGAAGGTTATCTCTCTCGTTGTGTGAACTTTCTAGCTCTGCTTTGAGCGCAGTTAGGAGGTCTTCAAAGTTATCCTTCACCTGCTTTTCCTCGGCCAAGCGTCGACGAAGGTCTTCACATGTCTTCTCCAAGTCTTTTAATCTTCCGGTGGTATCCACGGAATTTATCGAAGCAATATCAACCTATGGAATGTATTAGTAGAAGCGTTGTGTGGAATGGCGAGTGACAAACCTGCAAAGCTTTCTCCTCCAGCGTCCGAATTTGAGTTTCAAGCACCTTGCGTCTGTTTCGTTCCTCTTGGACCTTCTCAGTAAGCTCTAATCGCATCTGTGCCTTATCCTGTTGCGTCTTGCGCATCATTCGATCAAGCTCATCCTGTCGAGCATCGGATTCTCCTCCATACTTGACCGAACTAGTACCCGAGTCGGAAAAGTAGTCACTCGTTCTTTTCCCATTCGGATTTGATGCATTCTGTGCCTCTATTTGGAGTCGCTCGACGAGATCCTCGAGGTCCATCTCCCGCCGTATGGACGACGCGAGCTCCGCGCTGATTTCTTTTAGTTCGGTCTCCATTTCTTCGATCTGTAGTGGTGTCGTCGGTGTTGCCAACGGTATCTGTAAGTATGAATTTCTCATGTAGCCTGCATCGGCGTTGGCCTTGGGCACGTCGATTGCGTTGGGTTTATGTTGCTTTGAACCTGACCGGGAGGCATCTGCAAACTTGTTGTCTAATGGTTGGGGCGAAGGTATGGGCGAGTAAGCTTCCGAAGTTGGAGTGCCTGGTGTGGTGCTGTTCCCTCCCCAGCCGAAAAAGGTTCCCAGCTTGGAGCCGCCGGGGGATTTGGGGCGGGATTTACTTATGGTTGTATTAGACTCTAGAGATTCATTCGTAAAACTTCGCGATATACCATTAGGTGAATTAAGATTATGTGGTGGTGTGGCTTTGGGTGAGAACATTGACACAAGAGACGGGGATTGACTAGTTGAGCTGGAGTGGCTGTACCATGTGCCCGTAGAGTCCGAGGCAGCTGATGTGAGCGCTGAGTCTGTGGTCAAGCTTGCATGTTTTGCCGTATACTCGTAGCTGTCAAGTGGAAGCGAAGGTGGGATGGATTGGTTTGGACTGTCTGGCGAGCCAATCCGTTGCAGGTTTGCGAGGGTGTTTGCGGAGTTCGCAACGAGTGTAGGCGAACCGGACGACGAATCTTCCAAAGCGATCCGATCGGTTGGATTGCTACTCAGCTACATCAGCCAAGCACCGTGAAACAAAAACGGTTCGGCAGAAAAAGAAAAGAAAAAATGATTTGTATATCATGGGGAGGGGTGGAGTGCAGTAGTACATACTCTACAAATGAGTCGTCAGAAAAATCCAACAGCAACGAATCTTCACTGAGGTCAAGTTTCGAGGTCGGAGGGAACTCGTGGAGCGTTGGACTGTCAATGGAGTAGTAGGGTCGTGGGTACGTGGGCTCCGGGAGCTCTGGCAAATCGTTGAGCGTTTGAAAGCTGTTCCCTACGAGATAGTCGCCAGTGGAAAAGCGTGTAGCCAACGGCGAGGCGTTGGCTGGGAGTGGTTTGCGGCGCACCGAGGAGGTCGACACCGATGATGCTGAGGATTGGGCGCGTGAGCGTTGTTGGGCGCTGGTGAGGGAAGGGTTTCGATGTCGATTGTTCCTTTGTGGCTGCTGCGAGTAGGCGTGGGAAGCAGAATTCCTGTCGCTGTGACTGGTAGCCGGCAGAGGAAAAGTAGGAAAGGTATCCGTGGGTTGGGTGAGCTGATGGGATGAATAACGGAAATATTCTGGATGTGAAGCAAAGGAAGTATCAGAAGTCCCGACCGAGCTTCTGTCGTCGGATGAAGTGGAGGACGAAGGAGGGATCTGGGTCTTGGTCTGGGACTGGGACTGGCGATGGAGATGGAGATGCTGGGGATGGGGGATGGAGGAGTCCATGGTTTCTTTGGAGCCGAATGACTAGTTCAATTGAACATTGAATGAAAGAGGGAAATGTGCACGTCGCTCTGACTCTGTACCGTGTGCAAATCCGCGATAAGAGCAGAATTTGGAAGTCTGGATACGGACAGTTGGGAAAGTCTGGTTGTGATGGATTTTCCGGGATCACTGGCAGACCTCACTTCTCCTTTTTTTCCCCTTCCTCTCGCTCCACTACGCGCCTGCTCCTGCCTGCATCACCCCCGTGGTTGGCGCCTTCCCCGTGGTGTCCATGAATGCACTAATCTGCTTTGGGCGCGATGGATGGGGGAAGGCACGAAGGGTCAGGGGCAGCGCGTGTGTGATAGGCTGGCGGGTGAAGGAGGCCACGGGTGGGCATGCCAGAAAAAGACACAGCGACCCATCAGTTTCCCATTGAGTCCAGGGGCAGCGGGCGGTTGACTTGATGAGCGCTTGAATATCCCCGTCGCTTCTCCCTGTCAGCGCAATCTGGTGTCACGCTTAGCGGCCCTTGGCAGGAACCATCTGAAGCACAGTCGACGAGGTGAACTGTGTGTCGTCTCGAGTGCCTAGAAGGATCGGTGATGGCATCGGATCTCCTCTGTGCCAAATGAAGCTATCGCAACATTTATTGGCCAATGGCCAGATCACAACGGAAAATCATTCTTCGTCACGCTCTCATGTACGCAGCAAATCATCTTGTTCAACAGCTCCATCTACCAAAGCACTTTCTCAACGTCGGTTCTCCTCATGCATTGCATCCCTTTCCAATGGCTCAATCGCATGTCACCAGCTAATTACTAATTAAAATCGCGTTACGAAGTCCTGGCACCAACCAAACTATCAAAGATTACCCTTCAGGCTCTGACCACCCAATCAAAATCTTCTTCCACCTTCATCCTCGAAGAACTTCCAAATATCCAGATAGAATAATAACATTATCGGAATTTCACAGAGGCAAAGTACTTCGCGAAGCTGTGGGTTCAACTCCACGTCATCCGCTATGAAACGAATCACCATCCATCCAAACCTCAAACAACCATCACGTCTTTCCACACGCCCAACAGTTTCCAGAAGCGCCAGGGGATTCCATTCGACCCAATGACGGGGCGAAACACAACACCACGTGAGAGAACCATTCCTTCCATTTCCATTCTTGTGTAAGATGGATAGATACTGCAGCTGGAGCGGCGCAGCAACCTTTGCTACCGGAGCATTCGCTCGCCTTTTATTGATCCTCCAGACCAGACGAAGCTTGGAAAGTTTGTGACGTCTTCAAGTTAGTGATGGAAGATGTTTGGACTCAGTGGTTGAAGTTTGACCAAACCCGCGCACAGAGTGTTTCTCTATTATTGGAAACAGGCCGTTGTATAGGCTAAATACAGCAGAAACCTGGAAGTCACAGTACTCGTAAAAGTCCAAACATCACCACCACGCCTCGCAATCCAATACAACGCAAGCCCTACCTACCCACCCAGCCGGCTGGCGTTAAATGACTAGCGAACAACGTCACAGTCGTTGCGAGGATGGGAGTTGCGAGGCAGTTGGTTACACCAACGTTGCGAAAAACGGCGGTGCCCAGACGGGCTTCTTTATGTAAAGAAGTCCGGGGATTGGGAGAGCGAAAAAAAAGTTCCTCGCGTGCACTATTAAAAGTAGCAAGTCCATACATACGCAGCAAATAGTATAGGAAAGAGAAATACATACCTAGTTAATTATAATAATAAAGTCGTATTTCTTTATACTATAAGTATAAACGTAAATAAATACTAGATTATTATTTAGTTAGTTAAAAGACTAGCTAATATACTACTTATACTACCTATTCTAATAAGTTAATTCTTTGTGAGAGAAGAAAGATAAATAGTCCTATATTGCTCTGAGGTAAACAAAGAAGATCTCGAGGACGATGAGTATAGAGCATGCAACGGTGGTTTTCGTGCCGTTAAAGGCGGAGAGGTACTGAGGCGACGAGAAGAGGGTATCCGAAGACATGTTTTTCAAAGATGTCGAGTAGATTATGGGATGGCTTGGCTGATGATGAAGACGGTAGTTTGGTAAGAGGCTTTATTGCTGTGGTAGTTTTGGATTTAAATCTATGTGCCTTTTATGCGGGGTGCAGGCGCATGGCTGAGCGAATTTGCTAGCGGGAGTTTCTTGCATATGCAGCCTTCTTTTAAACAAAACATTTCATCTCGGTAATAAAAAAACAAAACATGATCGTAAACGCTTCTCCTCTGGCGCTTGGTATAAACAAAGAGAGGGTAAAATATGAGCTAGTTGAAGAAGTCGCTCTCGAAAAGTCAAACTGCCTTCTCTGTGTCTCTTGATATCACTTTTTGTATTACTAGAGAGTTGGTCTTATATACGATATGAACAGGGGAACGTTAATCATGTTGCATAGTATGTCAGCGTTGGTCCACCGTTGGCCCAACGATGGCCTAACACATTAGTCCAACACACGACATAAAAGCACAGCTTGTTCCGTGACTTTGTGGAAGATTCTGAATACATCTCAAGCTCAATCCTACAATCAGGTACCCAAGTCTAGGACCATCCTCATATTAGTATATTACCGCCCCCGAAATCAAGTCAATGCAATCCTTTACACCAGAATACGTTTTCACTCGAGACTACGTGGATAACAATCGGTAAAATGCAGTTCCCATTGAGACCTTTTGAATGTTACTAAATGTTGGAAGAATAAATTTACAGCACTATCTTTAGTGCCAGTGATTTGGATACCTGACTCACCCAGATATTCCTACAGAGGGAGCGAATCTGAGGATAGCAGACGTAGGTACAGGAACTGGGTAAGTGGAAGTAAAAACCATCAAAGCTGTGTCGAATCTGGCCTAGAGTTAGAATCTGCGCTGGCTTACGGACTTGGGTGCCAAGATACCAAGCACCGTTCAACTCGATGGACTAGATGTCTCGTTTGATGCCATGCCACCGCGTGAATGGCTTCCACCCAATGTAGCTCTTTATCAATGTGATATCAATAAAGAGTTCCCCTCTGAACTCATGAGAGTTTGCGGCATTGTCCACATTCGGAAATTTGCCTTCGTCCTCCAGAACGATACTATCCCTGCTATTATTGCGAACTTACTGAAACTTCTAAGTACGTTTTACTCCTAGGAAATATTGATGTTCATAGCTAACTAACTCCGTTTTGTCAGAGCCGAACGGCTATCTTCAATAGGCAGAAGCAGGCATGACATCATTCCGGAATCGTAAACACAAACCCTGAGAACAAGACAGAGGCAATGCTACGTTTGGTAAAGCTATCCCAGGGCACAGACTCTCGTCCGAGTCCAACCTGGGTTCCTGGTCTTCCAAAGTTGTTTGTGGAGCATGGACTTGAAGTTGTGAAGTCGGATGTGAAGGAAGCCCCTAGCCTCCTCATCTGGCCCTTATCATGCACGAGTGTAACTTGATTGTGCATGAATTACTTGCTAGGAAAGCCGGCAACGAAGATTTTGCTGAGAAAATAAGAGCTGTTATGTTGGAAGTTGTGGACGAGACTCGATTGGGTGCTTGTTAGGCTTTTACTAGGTAGATAGTTATTAGAAAAAAGACCTAATACGTCTTTATATTAAAGTTTGCCAAGATAGAAAATGTAATGGAGGAATTTATATTAATGATATGTTAACTACATTATTGATATGCTTCATAAATTCTAGCTCAAGTGTTTGTGAGAACGAATTCCAGCAATTTGAGTAGCGCGCCTTTTCTAGATTTACTATTTTATTAACAGATTGTTTTAACAGCCTTATAAGAATATCTGCTCGCGTAGAAGACTAGATAGCGGAAGTATTTATCCTACTCCAAACAAATGAAAAGTCACCAGTGACGAGTGTAAAACCGCTTGCATAAGACAATGAGATATATAGGCTAGCACGGTCGTTTATCTTGGCATGTAATTGGCTGGATGAGGAACATCGCTAATTAGGGCCTGTTTGGCTCGGGCCTTGCACCGGGGTGTACCATACAAAATATGAGTGTACACTCCAAGTGTACAATCTAAGTACAGGCACGTTTAGCTCGTAACTAGATGTAAAGTAAAGGTACTCGTCCTAACCTCAAGTTGACATGATTATCAACCCCGAAATCCAAGAGCAACATGAAATGGCAAGTATTTTGGCAACACGCTTCACGAATTGCAAGATACTCACACTAATTGAGGTAAATGACCATCAACTGTTGCCTCAGAACCTCGACTTTTTTGTATTAATATCCTTGTTGAATAGTATATTTGGTGGTCGTGCTCAGGCGAATTATGCGGCAGGTAATACATTCAAGGACGTTTTATCACACTACAGAATAGCTCAGGTCAGAAAGCTGTTTCTATCGACCTCGGTTTGATGGTGGGCGAGGGGGTCGTTGCAAAAAATGAGCTTTTGTCCTCTGTTTCGCAGTCTCTGGGGGGTGTTTTTTATGTGCCATCTGCCGTCTGCCATCTGCCATTATAGTTTTAGAGATGCACTTGTGCTTTAATTCTTGCTTCCAATGCTCGCTATGGGGAGATGCTGGTGTAACGTGGTCGAGGTGGCTGTACTCGAACTCGCGGATCTGGCATCTGGTAGATTTGCTATGGGTGCCAGTCGATAGTTGTGAGATTTGAAGGAAATAGAGTTTCACGAGGCTTTCGCAGATATCCTATTATATCCTCAGAGCCCTTCCCTACTCACAGAAAGCCCCTTCTTCCTCCTGCCATTCCATCAACACCATCATGGTTTGTATTCAGAGAGGGTTTGACCATGCGATTGTGTGGCTAGGCGTTTTGAAAAAGCTGATAGCAGCATGTACATAGTCTGCGAAACATTGGCAGATCACCATGGTCCCTTGTGTGAACCTCTGGAGCTTCATTGGAACCAACTTACGTACGCCTTTAAACCGATAACCCCTTTAAACCGATACTCTCCACCCCTCGCTTATGCCCCCTAACTCACTTGCCTATTTTTCAATGATGAAAACTAGAACTGCCATTTTCGTCAACTCTGAAATATTCCAGTATGCGATGGAAAGATTTTGAGGGTGCTGGTATCTGTGGCTTACTGCGGAAGAGTGGTGATCCTGTCCCTTTCAGGGATTTGTGTGTGGTTATGTGAAGTGAGGAATTTTGGGTATATGTTCTTGTGTCTGCATTGTGCTGATCGATGATCAATGGATAATTGGGATGGAACATCTGATCATGGCAGATATCGTTGAGGAGTGATCAATGACTGATGATTGGGGTGAAATATCGCTTCATGACAGGGATCGTTGAAGAGTAATCAATGACTGATAAATAGGGTAAAATCTCTGTTTATGACAGACATCGATGAGGAGGCGAATCACGTGATTTATATCTAGGTGTAAGCTACCAAAGTTGAGAATAGAACTTCAACAACACTAGTAATCCACAAAAGACGAGGTTATCGATGAAAACCGATACCCTGAGAACCATGGACTAGCCGCTGGTAAGGCCCAATCCTCTTGTATGTACGTGTATAATGTGTATTCGCATTTCTGTGTGTCTGTGCTTCGCTAGCGATTGTCCTCCTGCCTGCCATCCTCTTGCCCTTTCGCACAGAACTTTACTGCATGGGGTAGCTTCTTTTGCAGACTGGAAGTATGAAGGTATGCAGCTCTCGTGAAGTAATGAGGCTAATGAAGCCATGAGACCATGAAGCCAGAAGTCCCTTAGCGAGATTCTCTCTGCCGAGCCTTGGAACCCTATGCTTCTGTGTCTCTGTGCCCCAGAGGCTCTCAAAGTACCCTTATTTCCTCATCTGCTTGTTTTTCTTGTGGTTTTCTGCTATGTTCAATTGTGTTCCTACTACCAATTCTTTGGGCTCGCTTGTATTGTGGTTATGTTCGTGTAGGTAGAGAGAGGAGGTTCTTTCGTAAAGTTTGTGTTTGAGTAAGAGGTAGGAAGTAGGTTCTTTCGTAATTGTAGCATCTTTGAGTTCTTTCTTTGGGGGAGGACGGTTCTTTGAGGTGCTCTGTTAGTCCAGGAGTTGTTAGCATGTTCTTTTCTCTTTGGTAGATTGGTTCTTTGGCTTCTGGGGCAGACAACTTAGCCTCAAGGGGCTTCTGTAGTATCTTCTAGCCACGTTGCTCTTCTGCGAGCTAGAGGGTTCTCTGGTAGTTCTATGGTGGTTGCCTGTGAGTATATAACCAACTGGCTTCTGCGAAGTATTATAAACCTCTCTCCCCTCTCTGTCTGCGAGTTCTGTTGTTCTCCAATCTGTCTTTCTGTTGTACTGTGATAGTTTGGGTGCTTGTTTAGAGGAATTGGAGGGCACGAACCTGGTGTTTGCAGATGGTTGCTTTCCTGAAGGCAGATCTTCCTAACTCTCGCCAAAACTCTCTCTGTGGTTTCTGCACTTCCTGAACTTGTTCTCCTGCTGTTGATGCTTTGCCAGTAACTCTCAAGGCAGCTTTTAAAAGCTCAAAAGCGTTCAGCCTTGTGGTTGTGTAAGAGGAGCCCCTTTGAATTAGCTCGTGTATCTTAATTACTGCGTGCTGTTTCCTTTGCCTTTGAGTTTACTTTCAAGCTCCTTTGTAGCGCTTTCTATCCACACAGAGAGTTCTTTTGAACTACGGTCAGCAGATTGAGAAACCCCAAGTAAAACTACTGCCTACTATCTCTGCCCTCTCTTCTAATTGCTCTTGAAGATTTGAATCTGCCCCTTGGTAAGCTCTTAGAGTTTTGCCCTTTGAAATAGATCGCTCGCTACTCTGAGAAAGCGAGGCTGAGCAGCCTTGCTCGCAGAAGGATCTTTGGGTGTAAATAGCTATCTGCTGGATACCCCTCTGCTCCTTCTCGCTTCGTATGAGTCTTGCGGCTTCTAAATTTGCTCAAAGTGTCCCTCATGACTTGTATTTCTCTCAAAAGAGCGCATAGTATTCAAGCAAAAGAGTCAGGCGCTACTGCTTGTAGATTACTTCTCAGAAGGAGGCCGCCATCTGCAGATCATAACAGCACTTCCCTCCCTTTCCCTAGCCTCTTATGGTACCCACAGCCTCTGTGATTGCCTCCAAGTGATCCTTTCTTGTTCTTTGACATTATAGATCGTTCGCGAATTCGATTGAACCGTAAATACTTATCGTGGGAGGTGCCTGTAGTTCCCAAAGTCGTTAGCGAGTTCCTTTTGATTTGAATTTTGCCTGCCATTGTTTATCTTCGCTACAAGCAGACTTTCTGCTGGACTTCTGCACAAACTGTAGCACTCCCAAAATAGTTACCAAGCTGTATTCTTGAGTTGCAGTCAACTATTCTGATCAATGACCTCTAGGAGAAGGTTTCGCATATGTTGTCTTTCTAGTTTCACAGTTCTCGCTAATCCTGAGGGCATCTCTGAACAGTTTCTCATGGTGTTTTCATTGCACTAGAAGCTATTCGCATGGCTATTCAGCCTTGTCTACGGTAGCCCTAGCTATCGGAGCCTTCCCAAAGGAAGCCGATTGGGTTTGCAGGGGTAGGGACGGCACTATGAAGAGATTTTATGGCCGACCATGGAAATAAACGGATAAGGCATTGTTTTTTTGGCCTTATGATTCACGTCTTAAAACTCTGACGTGCAAGTTTCCTCTCAACTTCTTCAATTCATCCCACCATACCTCCAACTTCAAACTCGATCAACAGCTTCATCTATCATTCCATCCTGTTCTTTGCATTCACGCCAGGAAAACAGCATCAAAGTGAATCATCTAGAGCTCCTACGAGTTCTCTGATAGTCACTGCTGGTCTTGTTTGACCTCCTTTCCTCTCTGAAGTCGTCGTCGCGAAGGATCGCGAGATCCCCCTTGGAGGGTTTCCTCGGCCTGGGGGCTAATTCCATCGAAGGAAGCCTCCTTCTATCATCGTAAGTCTATCTCAACCCTTCTCTACCTTTCTGAAGCTCTCCTCGAGCTTTCCTCGTCGTCTCAGCATGTTTTGAGAGCTTACTGCGACCCCGCGGTCGCGGAGAGCTTCAAATTCTGCCCTCCCACACCTCCCACCAGCTTCCCCTCCTTCCACAGCATCCTGTATCAAATCTACCCATCTCCCTCAAGCCTCCTGTACCTCTCTGGAGCTTCCATCGAGCTCCTCTCATCGTCTCTGCACGATTTGCGAGCTTGTCGCGACCTCGCGGTCGCGGAGAGCTTCAATTCCTGCGCTCCAGCACCTCGCTCCAGCTTCCACCATCCCCTAGCACCTTCTGCCTCTTCTATCTATTTATTCCAACCCTCCTCTACGTTTCTAGAGCTTCCATCGAGCTCCTCTCATCGTCTCTGCACGATTTGCGAGCTTGTCGCGACCTCGCGGTCGCGGAGAGCTTCAATTCCTGCGCTCCAGCACCTCGCTCCAGCTTCCACCATCTCCTAGCACCTTCTGCCTCTTCTATCTATTCATTCCAACTCTCCTCTACGTTTCTAGAGCTTCCATCGAGCTCCTCTCATCGTCTCTGCACGATTTGCGAGCTTGTCGCGACCTCGCGGTCGCGGAGAGCTTCAATTCCTGCGCTCCAGCACCTCGCTCCAGCTTCCACCATCTCCTAGCACCTTCTGCCTCTTCTATCTATTCATTCCAACTCTCCTCTACGTTTCTAGAGCTTCCATCGAGCTCCTCTCATCGTCTCTGCACGATTTGCGAGCTTGTCGCGACCTCGCGGTCGCGGAGAGCTTCAATTCCTGCGCTCCAGCACCTCGCTCCAGCTTCCACCATCCCCTAGCACCTTCTGCCTCTTCTATCTATTTATTCCAACCCTCCTCTACGTTTCTAGAGCTTCCATCGAGCTCCTCTCATCGTCTCTGCACGATTTGCGAGCTTGTCGCGACCTCGCGGTCGCGGAGATCTTCAACTCCCATCCTCCACCACCTCGCTCCAGCTTTCCCCTATCCCTCAGTACCATCTGCCTCTTCTTTCCATCCATTCCAGCCCTACTCCACGTTTCTAGAGCTCTTCAGGAGCTATGGCAATCATCTTTGTACGTTTTGAGAGCTTGTCGCGACCTCACGGCCGTGGAGAGCCTCAATTCCCATCCCCCACCACCTCGCTCCAGCTTCCTACCACCCTCCAGCATTCTCTATCCTATCCATCTACCCCTCACAACCATCTGCCAGCCTGCTAACAGCTTTCTGCTCTTTTACAGCTTACGCGAGCGTCGTCCTTGCTCTCCCTCGCTCTCGCGAGCGCTTCGCAGCTTACACCTTCGTAAGTCTACATCTACCACCTCCTCGCTATTAGTCAGAACCTTTGGGAAGCTTGCTAGCTTGCTGGAACCGCTTTTGCGGTGCTCAGCTGACTATTTTGACCCCTCTCGGGATCTTCAACTGTTGCCCAAGGCGAATTGACACGAGCAGCTTATCAGAAAAGCTCGCTAGCTTGCAAACTTTTCTCCTCCTCGGCTTCTGCTATCTGATTGAGCCCTCTGACAGCCTGCTAACTTGCTCAAACAGGGATCTAGAGTAAGTTTTGGCGGTCCCAGCCTCCAAAATTTCTTTGAGCACCCCTCTCGGGTCATAATTACCTCATACCTCTTTGTAAGTTCCTGTCTCCTTCCTCAACTCTCTCTTCCACCTCTACTTCATCGTCTTCCATCTCTACATCTTCTCCTACCACCCCACGACCTTCTCGCCCTCCGCTATCGCTCTTGTCACATCTTTCTGACCTGCTCGGCGCGCTATTTAAGTATTTGTTGTGGTTTGCGAGCCCTAACCCCGGCTCGCCAAGCCCACCAGCTGCCCTACTCCGCACAATCCACTTGTAAGTCCAGCTTTCCTGCACCCATACACCCTCTTCCAATCTTCATCCCGTCGCCTAACTCCCCCGCACCTCGCTGCCGCCGCTCCTGACCTTCGTGCAACCTGCTGACCTGCCTACCTAGCCGTCCTTACCCCTCGTTGTCGTCTTCGGCTTATGTTGACGTTCTGCTAACGTCGCCTAGAGTTGTGCTGGCAGCCCTCCTCACACCCTATCGTAATTCAACATCTCCTACTACTACCAACCTTCCTACACCTTCATGCTATTGTCTACCCCATCCCAACCATCTTCTTCCACCTCAAATTCATGGCTCGTCTTCTATTCAACCTTCCTGCCGTCGACCTGGACCTTGAGATGACTCGCTAACCTGCTTAGATCCGCTCAGTCATCGTCTTAGTTGGCTCTTCTAGCGCTCTTCCCAGTCGAAGCCTACTAGATATCCTCGTAAGCTTACATCATCTTCCTCTCTGTTACTGCCTTCCTTCTTTCTATTATACCATCCTGTCTTTCAGATCTCTATGACACATCATCTTATCTCTCATTTGTATACACGTCATTCTACCTCTGTATGACTTCCTTCTATTCCTCTATCGCACCATCCTATCCCCTTCATTTTGTCTTCCCTCCACGTCACCGTCTCTCTACTCCACCAGCGTGGGATCTCTTCCTTTACCCAATCTATCTGTATGAGCTCCACTCTCTGCAGATTGTCACCCTCCCTTTACACTATGATTGCCAGTGGTATTAGTGGTGGTGTCTCATTCCCTTCTATCTCATCCTTCAACACATACATTTTAGTCTCTTTCCACTCAAGTGTCCATCAACTCTTCCTCCTCAAGAACCTCTTCTTCTTTCCTGCACTGTCTCTTCTTCATCACGACTAGCATTGCATCGCTACTAGTATACCACTTCCTCTGGCGTGTCACCGTCTTTGTATTTGGTATACTGCTGCAATGTCGCTCAGGAAGTCTCTGAGTAACATGTATGCTGTCTGTTCCAATGAGATTGTTCCCCTTTCCCAGTACTTGGCTGTTTCTTTTCATACATACCAGAAGATCCCTTCCCCTTCCATGATGGTTCAACATGAGGGCAGACCCTAACAAGGGTTCGTTGGGTTTACTTGTCCCTTTGGTGTTCTTGTCGGTTGGGCTTCCCATTTTTTCGCTTACACCCAATCATGTGCCCGCCCCCCCTTTACCCTTGCGTTTACACTTTCCCTGTTCACTGGCGGTTCGCGGGTGAAGGCAGCCGCCGCCGCCACAACCTCTGCCTGCCAAGAACAAAGCTGTTCTTAGCGCCTTAGATCTAAGCCTCAACAGCTTACCATTCACGTCTGTGTTACATTGTATCACAGCACTTTTTCTTAGCTCCGCCTTCGGCCTACTTATATATGCGAGTCTTTTGAGCAAAGTAACTAACTAACGCCTAGATACTTCTTCAACAGTATCTTTTGATACGGTACGTTACTACAAGTTTACTGTTGAGTTTTGTGCTTCTTTACTTTTCTATCAAGTATCGCCTCTTGATGATAAGTTATTAACGAAGCCATCAGTTGCAGTTGCTCCTTGTAGATTGGCGACTTATCTTGAAGGTATGTTCGCACTCACAGCCTTTCCATAGATGCCTTGCATCTGTCTCTGCTCCTCTTTGAAATTTACTTTGGCACTTTCATCTTTCAAGCAAGATCGCTGACATCAACATAGTCTCCCACTTCATATACTTCGTCCCTCTTTGTGAGACATCCAGGTATGTTTTTCATCAGTTCATATGCCACACATTTTCTTCACAATCAAATTATCATTCCCATTTCCTCCAGAAAATCTCCATCCCCATTCCACAGTTTTCAAGATTACCTTGTGTTTCCTGTTCTCTCTACCCTTTTCATTTTCATATTACACACATTAGCATTTCATTTTCATCTTTCCATGTCTTTACATTTTCATCTAGCACATTACCAAAAACAATTTTGCTACTCCTTACTCAATCACACTCATACCATTTACATTTTCCCTGTCATCATCTTTTCATTTCAACCCTCCAAGTTCATCATGAACATTTGCTAATTCTACATCAGGCTCAAGTCTTGGATTTCGATAAGTCAGTTCTGCCCGCTATCTGAGAACACTTTGAGATCCCATTCTCCTACCCTCTGATGAGCACTGTCTGACTGTGCATCAGGTCTGTACCAGCTGTCTTTCTGACGAGAATTGTTTTTCGCAATTACTTGGTAAGTCATATCCATTTTTCAAACCACCCATCATTTTCATCATGTTTCCTCATCAGGTATGAACATCCACTGACATTGTATCAGGTCACCATTGGGTCTTCGACTGTAAGTCAAGATACATATCTCATTGACATACGCACCATTATAATACACCACCTTCTTGTTGTACCTGCTGACATCTCAGAAAGTTACGTAAGATCTCTTATTGGATTTGACACTTGTAAGTTACATACATCGCTGAACATTTTTCAAGTTCATTTCGATGTTCCCACTCCATAATACAATACATGCTAACGAACTCTTAGTTTGCATCAAGTATTCTTGAGCGTAAGTCATCTACATACCATACCAGCATTCGTCTGGTTAAATTTCCCGACTTCATGTTGGACTTCTACTAAGCGCGCATTAGTTTACGATAGTACTTGAGTCAATTATCGTCAGGTATGTTTCTTCATCTACCCCAACTCCACTTCATCCTTTTTGCTTTTCCGACTTTGATGAACATCTACCAACTCTGATTTAGTTCACGACAATACTTTGCTTTCGGCGATTACTTGTACGTTTTTGATCTTCGCGTAAGAGCGATGTATCGAGGATGTTTCCCTCACTCTGAAAATGATGTGCTAACATAGACATAGTTTACGACGAAAGCTGGCTGCTTCCTGAAATCTTGCATTTCCGTGAGCACATCACTCTGATTTTCATTTTCGAACTTCAAGGATTTTCTGCTCACATTCAAATAGAATCAGACGAATCATCACTGCCTTGCATATTATTCTGTCACGGAAGTACACCACCCTAACTTCATTTCATCAATTTCAAAAAATATCTGCTAACTTTAATATAGTTTCAGACAAATACTATTGTCTTTTGAGATCTTACGATCGTGTAAGTACGCTACTTGGATTTTGTTTTTTCAACTTCAAGAAGTACCTACTTACCCCAAACCAGATTCAGACGAATCATTTGGGCATTTGATTTTTTGCAGTTCCGTAAGTACACCGCATTGAATTTGGTTCATCAGCTTCGAGAAGTATTCACTAACATTGACATAGATTCAGAGCAAACAAGTTTTTGACTTTTGGCACATTGCAACTTTTGCAGTCGCGTAAGTACAAAAACCCAACTTCGTTTTTCCATATCAAAAGGGTATTTACTAACGTTGTAACAGATTCAGATATCTCAATTTCGGTTTTCGACTTTTTGCATTTTCTGCAATTGCGCAAGTCCAAAACTTTGATTTTCTTTTTCCAACATTGTTGGATATCAGCTAAATTTGAAATAGGTTCAGATCATACACATCCATAATTCGGGATTGTGTTTATTTTGAATCATCGTAAGTACCAAAAACCAACTTTCTTTTCCCAACTTTTGAGATTACTTGTTATCTTCTTACCAAATTACGTGATAACGTTTTTGGGAATGAAGTTTTCAAGTTTTTGAAGTTATCACGACATCAAAATCTCAACTTTGTTGTTCCAACTTTTGGTTGCATTTTCTTACTTTATGACAGGTTGTGAAAATCATTCATTGAAATCGAATCACGTAAGTCTTTCTATCATCACATTTCTAATATGATGAATTTCTTACCCCAAAAAATGGAAAAATTAACTAACAATAACATAGCTCTCGAAAAATGGCGTGGCGAAACGATCGCAACAATGACAATAGTCATCAGCCACCCTACAATTTTGGCGGCGATGAAGATGAACACAATCATCCACGTCCCAACCAAAATCGTCAAAATCCTGCACAACAGCCATATAACCCAAATTTCGGAATCGGACCGGGTACAATTGGTATCAACAGTGATTTCTACCGAAATCAAGCTGCCCAATACCCCCGCTACCCCCCTCATAATGTGCAAAACAACTTCGGAACCCCACCAAATCCGTTTTTGCACCCCCAATTCCACCCCTCCGGTCCTCAAATCAGCACAGCTGGTACTCCTACACATTTTTCGCCTATTCCTAGGCAAAATCCGCTCCAAAATCCCGGTCCTATGGCTGCTGGTTTCCGCCCAGAGGGAAATTCCATGTTTTCTCCGCCAAATTTGCCGAATCCGGACTTTCGCCCTGCCCCTGAGGGTAATTTACCACCTATTAATCACTTGAATCTTCGCAGATCTGGTCAGGGTGCCGCGGAAGAGGATGAAAACGATGAGGACGAGGCCCCAGAGCGGGGGGACACTGATGAGAGTTCATCAGATTACAAACCAGAGCGAGAGGACCGCCCACGCCCTAGTTTTGGCCCGGGATTGGCGAGAAAAAGCCCTTACATGACACCATCCAAGGGAGCACCGGGAAAGAAGACGAGAGGAACACCGGCAAAGAAGACAAAGCCTGTGTATCAGGCTCGTTACCGAAATCTCCAGGAAATGAGAGACGCCCGTGCCCGACGACACCAGCTTGCTATGAATGAGACTGCCGACAATCATCAGGCAGCACATATGCCAGCGGAAGAAGACTATCCTGCCTATGTAAAGGAATTATTCGAGGCCATGATGAACACAGATCCTGATGAATGTATGGACCATCCCGAAAATAATAATGGGAAGATTTCTCAGGCCATGAATGCGATCAATGCCGGGAATTGGCCTACTGATCACGTAGAGGAACGAGCATGGGAAATCCTGGTAAGTACCTCTTCATTCTATGTTCAAGCCCTATTATACTAACCCTTTGCTTAGGATACACTGGTTAACAGAGGCGGTGCCTATGGCACTCGCTTAATCCCTCATTTTCAACGCCACCCTCTAGAGCCATTTGGAAAACATGATACTTTTGAAGCTCGTTTTAGAGCAATTGTTTCTTCTTTGAAAGTAAGTCATATCCCTACCTATTACCCCCAAATCACGGATTCGCTAATGTAATTGCTTGTTTTAGAAGAGCAAGGCTCTCGTTAAGAACATTCTCGACCCTCAGGGACATATTGATCGCCTTGTGGAAGCCCCAGAGAACGCCTTCAAGGTAAGTTGACATGAATTCTATACCACAGGAATATACTAATGTGTTTTCATAGGCGAAGGAGTCCAATAAGAAGGTCAACGCTCAGCGTGACCGACAAAACAAGCTGGGCCGTACGGCCATGAACAGAGGCGTCGTAGACGCAGAGAAATTGGGAGAATTGCTCCCTGGAGAAGATAAAACTGCCACTCCTGATGAGCAGAAGATCAAACCAGAGAAGCGGAAGCGAAGAATCGCTCATCAAACCGATAGCGATGATGATGAGGAGGAGGAGGAGCATTCTCCTGCTCCTAAGAAGCGATCCAGACGCTCTCAAATTTCGCGGAAGATTCTGCCTGATACCGCTACCCAAAATGGATCCAGAAACCTCCGCTCTCAAGGCCCAGCACCACCACCTTCAGAACTGGAGGACGATTATAAGCGAATCATCGCTAGACTGTTGGGCGTACCGGAGCAGGTAGCTATGACGTTTACCCTCGCTCAATTACGATTCTACGCTAGGGGTTATAATGTTTCCATGGATAACCGCCAATGGGAACACCCTAGACTTGACATGGGAATGGGCCTCGGTCCGTGTTTTGAGGAGAAGATGGACGGATCCCTGCGTGATCTCGATCGCATTCATCTCGCAGTTCTAGAGGATGAGTACATGCCACTTCTTCGTGCCAGAGGTGATGTTACTGCAGAGAACGCGTATCACCGTTACTTTGGTCCCGCTCAGGACCGCCGGGAGCGACAAGCCCTCGGAGAAATCGATAATCCTTTTGGGCGAGAGGCCTACTATTAAGGAAGAGACTACGTACACCTCGAGTGGGCAGTCTCTCCCCTTTCTTCGCTGCTCCTCATCCTTATTCTTCCTGTCCACACATCTCTTGCCCTTTTTCTGAGATTCTTGTTCTGGAGTTCTCGGCGTTTACCACGATACCCATTGCTCTCACAGAGAGTCTTATTTGCTCTACTTCCTTTGTTTTGTTCCTGACCGCATCATCATCAGATTGTCTTTCTTTGCGGAGGGAGCGACCCTTCCTACTTCATTTCGACATTGCAACGAGTGTTCTGTTCTCGCCGCGACACTACTTGTCTTCTGCGGAGGGAGCCTCACAAAAAAAAAACGGTGTTTGTTCTTGCCGGGGAGGGCAAATCATTTTCTCATTTCTTTCTCTTCTTGGGCGAGTGGACTCGTGCATAATGTGGTTGTCTAACGCAGAGTCTTTTACATGTCATCTTCTTTCCTTGTTTTTCTGAGAGCACGTCAAGGAACTAGCAAGCTCGTTATTTGGTCGGTCGTCCGCCCTGGATCTTGGGTTGTGGACCGTGACTAGTTGGCGTTTTGGCTCTCCCTCTCCTTGCATGTAATTAAGTATCAATATGAAAATTTACAAATATTGTGTGCCATGTGAATTGCGAGATCGTGATAGTAATAAAATTTGTGTAAATTTGGTCCTCAAAACCATGGATTTTATCTACAGATGCAAATATGTGTTTGTTGACAGTGACACTGAACCCCTATTTCTGAAGTACATGACGCTCGCTTGACATCAGCCCTGTCACTTCATGACTCAAGCCAGCTCAAGGTCGAGTAATCTTGGCAGCTCCTCCAGTTCGAGTGAAAGGCTCCCCGCGACAACACCACAACAAACATCTCCAGACCTTCCAATTCTGCCTTCAAAACTCATATCAAAACCAGCCTCACATCCGTCCTGGAGGCCTCAATACACATCCGCCGCAGAAGATGTCAACCCCCAATTCCGGCGCCTCAACCACCAACCCACGCTTCACACCCCAAGCCAAAACCGCCGAAGACCTGCTCGCAAACCAAACCGTCGGTCTGGTAAACCTCTCCGACTTCCGCAAACGACGCGCGGAGGCAATCGAGCAGAAAGAGCGCGATGCCCACGATCGAGTCTTAAACGTGCCCAGTAGCGGGACCGCGACACCCGATGGGTGAGTACCTACCTCTCTCTCTCGCCCCCGAGACAAGGAGAGAGTCAATTGAGAGAGAATGGGACTAATGGCCCTAGTACAGTGCGTCTACACCGCGAGAACCAGCTTTGAAGAAGAAGAAACGCAAGGTTGGGACACCGAAGCTTTCCTTTGGGGTGGAGGGTGAGGAGGGGGAGAGTGGGGATAATGCTACGACGGGACCTGGGTCTGCGACTACGACGAGGGAGAATACACCGAGTACGGGGAAGGAAAGTGGAGGGAAGAAGTCGAAGTTTGGGGTTAATGCTTCGGTAGCTATTGCTCCTAAGGTGTTGACGAAATCTGCACTGTTGAGGGAAGCGCAGACGAGGGAGACGTTGAGGAAGGAGTTTTTGGGGATCCAAGAGGCGGTCAAGGGTACGGATATCAATATCCCCTTTGTGTTCTACGATGGGACGAATATACCAGGTGGAGTGTGCAAAGTCAGGAAGGGGGATTATGTCTGGCTCTTTCTGGATAGAAGTCGAAAGGTCGGAGCGGAGATGGGAGTTGGAGAGAAAGGCACGAACACGAATAAACAGTGGGCAAGAATCGGGGTGGACGATCTGATGATGGTTCGAGGTGGTATTATTATTCCTCATGTAAGTCTAATCTCTATACCCAAGATGCCGTCGAGGGGAAACGCTAATTCATGCCTAATAGCATTACGACTTCTACTACTTCATAATAAACCACACTCTCGGTCCCAATAACCAAATCCTCTTCAAGTACTCCACCGAACCTCCAGCAATATCTTCTCTGCCCAAAGAACCTGACTCTATAAACCTCGACACATATAACCCACTCTCCGTTCCCTCTGCGAAACCAAAGGTGAAGGAGATTGTTGTTGATAACAAGGACATCGAAGGCAGTAATGACGATCCCACCTTCACGAAAGTAGTCGATCGTCGGTGGTACGAGCGTAACAAACACATCTATCCCGCAAGCGTATGGCAAGAATTCGACCCGGAGAAGGACTACCAAAAAGAGGTGAAGCGGGATGCTGGCGGAAACGCGTTTTTCTTTTCCTGAGGAGAAAGCGCAGGCAGGTTGTAAAATCTATCCATGGACGTTGTATAACAAAGACTCGAGGGAACAAGCAGGTATCTAGACAGAACACAAGTCAATAAAAGATACCCAAAGAACCCATTACACATACCTTATCCATTCTAAACAACAGAACAAAACCTCAACCCTCATCCCCAAACAAACCTCCCACCCAGCACCAACCCCCCAACAACAATCCACCCCGGCCAAAACAAAATCAAAAAAATCCCATTCCCATTCCCCAGTACAAAAACCCCCAACTCAAACCACAATTTCCTCCTCAACCCCTCACTGCTCCTCCAAGCCCTCTTAACCCCCTCCTTCACAGCCCAAGCCCCATACTGCAGAAGCACGAACGCCTGTCTAACAAGCAGCGCAGTGGTATACCAGGAAGCATAGTACGACTGGCACGCCAAGACCGTGGCAGCGTAGTAAGATTGTAAGGCGAGTGTGTTGAGCGTGTAGTAGGTTTGTAAGAGCAGGAAGAGGGTTGTTGTGCTGAGGATTCGGGGGAGGAGGGTGGGGAGGTAGAGCGAGGGGGGTGTTAGGGATGGTGGGGTTATGGTGAGGGGTTTGGGGGAGAGTGTGAGCATTTTTCGAGACTGGAGAGGTGGATGAGTGTCGAGTTGTATGGGACGGTGAGAAGGATGGATGGGGGTGATGGAGATGATGGGGTTTGAATGAATGAATGTCTGATAATGGAAATCTAATGTATGTGGTGGAAGTTGTCTGTCTGTCTTGTCTTGTCTTCTATATGAGAGGAAAGAGAAGTACGGTATCGAAGTGCCCAGACAAGAGATCTCCTGTCGATATAAATCCATTACGGGTTGGAGCGAGGAGGGAATTAACTTTATTCATCCATCTCCACTCGTAGGGGTCTCTTTCTGGTCCGTGGAACCTCCTATCTTGGTACCATACAATATGTACCTATTCATAATATACGATACCTCCCATTAATATCTCATGGGTATCTCTCTCTCTACAGTCTCTACTATACAGATCAAATTCCCTCATTGCGATTGCCTATTGTCATAAGGTTACGTCTTGTAACAGGTTAAGTGGTACGGAAAAACGCTCCTGCTTTTTTAGCCGGTGACGATTGCATCAGATCTCAACGTTCTGTGCTACTGTAAGATTACTTCTGTACCTCCGTACTGTAACTTACAAGTTAGGCAACAAAAACTCAATGGCGAGATCTAATCTATTTTTTCTCTTCATAGCCTTTCTGACGTCGTGGATTGTAATTCAATCAATGCAATCAATTCAATCGCTTCTCATCAAAATCTTTCTCCTTTCCTTTCCCTAGACCTGGACTTTGGATCCGGACGAATACAATACCAACACTGCAACAGTAAAGCACCATAATCTCACCAACAATTCTCCTCACGCTCGTGATCCAAACTCCCTCACCTCATGCATCGGATCGAGACCGTTGGATCGACAGGGGCTCGGCTTGCATCAAGTACGTGGCATAAACGGGTGGGGTCCTGCACAATACATACCCGAACTTATGTTTGCTGTACAGTACTGTACTAACCGGGTTGGTTGTGAGCTTGTGAGAGGCTGAGAAGGCAGAATGGAGATCGTGGGATGGGGGTGGGCTTGGATTGGTGGGCCCTGATTATTTAGCGCGGGGTAGCTATACTGTACGGTATGAGGGGGAGGGGCAACTGCAGGTTGGTGGTGGATCGATCGGGTGCAGGTGGCTTAGGAGGCGGAAGTTCTGGGAAGAGGGGAAATGGGAATTTGGGAATCGGGATGGACTTTAGGATTTGGTGTGTAAGTTTTGGAAAATGCGAAAATTGATCCGGAAGGTCCAGGTAGGTTCCGGAGACGAAAGAATTGGTGGGAAGTACGCCTTTCCTAAGATCTGTTCTTTTTGTTGAGTAACAACTATCCCAAGAGATTGGATCAATCAATTCGATTGTTCCACACAATTAGAGCGGTATAGCAGCGAAGCTATTCCAATACTACTTAGTTTTCCGTCCGTCACGAGGAGTGGTATATATCACATGAACAATACTTGGCAAATGCAAGTTCAAGAGGTCGGGAATTTTCGGAGAGTTTCCAGATCATTCTAGAAATCAGATTCCTTGTAAACCTGATTGGATGGTCCCAGTTAAGTAGCTCCTTGGTTGAAATTCATACTATAGCCACCAGTCTTCTCGTCCTTGACCATCTGAAAGTTATTTGTCGACAAACCAAATGGTTTCAACATTCCATTACCCAACTGCCAAAATGTTAGGCTTGAAAAAAATGCTGGTCTTGGTGAAAAAAACTAACCTGCTTCAGTTTATCCATCATTTCTTTGGTCTCCTTTTCTTGGGCTGCTTTTGTCCGAGGTGGGAGTGTTCTCAGCTGTTGCTGTATGATTTTCTTGTCTGCTAATGAAATGTTGAGCATTTGGGAAAGAGTCTTATAGTCTGCAAATCATGGTTAGACAAATGGAGTGTGTGAAAAGAGCTTTTGGAAACTGTACCTTCTTCAGCACCCTGCAAAACAGACCACCCGCCCTGTTCACTCCTCGCCTTTGCTCTCCTCATCAACGCCTTTGCCCGTATCCTCTCAATATCAGCCTCTCTCTTTGCCTTTTCGGGCGAGATCTCTTCTCTCATAGGCGCACTTTTCGTAGCGCCCTCGCTCACAATCTCCTCATCAGCTTCCTGTTCTTCGGCCTTTACGGGTTCCTTGGGTTCTTCCTGCTTCGTTCCATCTGGATTCCTGCCTTGCAGTTTATCTAAGCAATCCAGTGCAGCGGTCGAGGATTTCACAGCTTCCTTCCAATCCTCAAGTTTCAGATGACAAGCTGCAATATTACTCTTCAGCACCGCTATCTCGTAGTCGAGGTAATTCGGACAGGTGGAAAGGGCTTCATCGTAGATAGCTATCGCTTCTTGGAAGGAGGACTTTGCGAACAGAGCGTTCGCAGACGTTTTTTGAGCGTTGGATTCATTGAGGAGGGACTTGAATAATCATCATCAGTAAATTGTTCTGATGCGCCTGGTTTGTGTAGAGGAAATTGCTTACATACAGCTTCTTCCTCTGGCGAAAACCGCACTACCTCTTCTTCCGTGTCCACTGGCTTGGCTTCATCTTTCTTTTCTTCGGGCTTTCGTGCAAATCTCTCACTGCGAGATGCCATGTTTGTGCTGTTGTATTGACAAGATGGGGCAATGAAATGTGAGGTGTTTGATGACAGCAGCGGAATGGCTCCGCTTTGAGCTTACCCATGCAGCATTCGAATACCCCACTAAACCCCGCCCCACGTCAGCTCTGGTATGTACAACCTGAGATACATCATTACATACGACGAGTGAAATTATTCCAATTTCCAAAGATATTTATACACAGTCAAGAGATAATTAGATCCATCATGACGTCTCCTAAAACAGAGTAAGTTGAAGTTATCCTCACACTCCAACGTAGACTAATAAAACTTCCAGTTTCCCCCCCGTTAGAGCATGTTTACTCGATATGGATGGCTTGTTAATTGACTCCGAAGACAAGTATACCATCTGTGACAACATGATCCTCGCAAAATACGGAAGACCACCTATTCCTTGGTCCATCAAAGCACAGTTGCAAGGTAGGCCAGGGGTATCAGCCGTCAAAATAATGCATGAAGTACGTCACGTCTAGCAAGGGATAGTATATCTATACAAACTAAATTTGCAAACAGTGGTCCCAACTACCTATCACCATCGAAGAATACCAGACTCAACAGCTCATTCTCCACGAAGAACACTTCCCCTCCGTTCAACCCCTCCTAGGCGTCTCAAAGCTCCTCTCCGACCTCTCATCTGCCACCGTCACTCTCCCCACCACACCCCCCAAAACACTCAAAGTCCACACCGCCCTCGCAACCTCAAGCATGGCCTTAAAATTCAAATGGAAGACCTCCCATCTCGAAGAACTAATCTCCGTCTTCCCACCTCATCGACGCGTCTTAGGTGATGATCCGCGAATCCCAAAGGGTCGCGGAAAACCAGCGCCAGAGATCTATCTGCTAGCGTTAGATACCATTAACCAGTCGCTCGACGAGGGGGAGCCGAATATCAAACCGGAGGAGTGTTTGGTTTTTGAGGATAGTGTTTCGGGAGTGGAGGCTGGTAGGAGGGCTGGGATGAGGGTTGTTTGGATCCCGCATCCTGGGTTGGCGGGGGAGTACGTGGGACGGGAGGGGGAGGTGTTGGCGGGGAGGACGGGAGAAGGGGAGGGGGATTTGCATCAGGTTGGGGAGGTGGGGGATGGGTGGGGCGAGCAGTTGGAGTCGTTGGAGGGGTTTGATTGGGGGAAATATGGGATTGAGATTCTTTAGAGGAGAACCTGGATAGATTGGGATTTAGAATGAGATAACAGATAATAAGGACCGATTTAGTTTGGAATACACGTCTAGAATATACTATACTAATTAACGTTCTATACCACGAACGTTCCCTTAATTCGTAATAAGTAATACGGATATTTCGCCTATATATTAATAAATAGGAAGAAAGTACTACTCTAAATATAGTAATCAGGTTTTATTCTAGATACACTATATAAAACTTATTAATCCTAGGTAGAACTAGCTTTTAGAGTATTTATTCTATAACCCTTCACTCGTTTAGTTTATCTGATGTTAATATTATAATTTATTTATATAAAACTCTACTTGAAAAATACTTAACTCGAACGTACCTACAAGTATATATCCGATAAAATAACCGAGACAAGTATACTTTTGGTGTGCAATCCACTATGGATACGCATTCAGCGCTAAGCAAGCCCTAATACATTGATTCATAACAACTAAACCTATATAACTAGTCATTTTAAAGCTTCGCTTTTCTGGGCTCCCCTTCCCATGGGATAACAGTCTTCCCTCCCTTGTACACTCCACCACGAGGCCTCCACATGATATTCACTGGTTCGGATTCCAGCTCGCTGGCAATCTCTTTCCACTCTTGACTCGGATCTTCTTTTTCGAAGGAAAGCCTGACTTGACTCATCGTCACGAACCCCCAACGTTGATAAAGCTTTGTGCCCATAATGGTTCCTTCGAGATATGACTCAAGTCCTTTCTCGTCGACTAACCCAACAAAAAACTCCAGAATCAAATCTCCGATTCCACGATCGCGATGCTCGGGGAGAATCCACAAAGCAAGACCACCTGTGTAAGATCAGTCAGCCAGATAGCCCATTGCGTTTGTTTTGGGGATAATTGAACATCGATGTTATACATACACGCATGAGATATAGGCATCATTCGTGGTCTATGTACCAGGAGTTGCTCATACATCGACTCCGCCAATTCCCTCCTCTCCGAGCCCTCCGCAAACTGCGTTACCTGGGGCTTCTTGTACGGACCACGGTATGGATTTTCTGGATAGATCAACCATCTTGCACCCGCAACAATTTTTTTCTCTTCGGGATCTACCACCTTCACCCAGTGATCGTTCTCATCCCCGTGTAGTGTTTTGTGAAGTTCTCGTTTGAAAGCTTCGAGGGCCTCGAGCTCCGTAGGCGTGTTCTCGCCCAGGTGGGGAAAGGTGAGTTTACCGGTTGCTTGGACGGGATTTGCCCAGGAAGACCAGTAGGCGGTTGCGTATTCGTTGATGTCGTTGGGGATTTTTATGTATTCGACCTTCAATCCGTTTTTCTGTGCTTTGGAACTCATTTTTACACGTGATGGGCAGTTTGATAATTTTTAGTCTGAAATAGACGTGGTGGAAGTATGGAAAGGGGGCATGAGAGAATATATAGACCTTGGTGGGTCCTCAAGTGAAATATACATGGTATTTCATTGGCTGATGGACTAATGCGCATCGTATATGGCTATTGCTGATCAAAATTTCGGGAATAGTATATATCATGATGAAAATAGTATGCGAACACTATCTGGGTGCTCGTTTAAGCTTCAACTGAGGCGTCTTTTTCTGCCACAGGAACTTTATCTATCGGCCATGGAATTGCTTTATCAAAACAAAAACTTCCATCACCAATGAATTAGATCCTCCATGCCTTTCAGTTCATCATCCATATCTACCCCTAAACCCTAGAAACATCTTGATGGAAGCCATTATGGATATGGCCAAGTGTCGTGGGAGAGGTAGCACTATCCGTATCTCCCAATGACTTCGCCAAATCTCCATTCACGCCATGGATCGGGGCCCCAGAGCCGCTCGAGACATTCCCTTCTATAGTCGAATATGGATCCGGGCGCGGGGCCGACCAATCTGTGCCAGAAGGGTCTGTCGAAGATCGTTGCGAGACGAGACTGCGAAGACTGGTGACCATCGAGCTAAGGAATCCCTTGCGGAACAGGGTTCGAAGGCAAGGCATGCAAGCGGTAATCAGACCGAGTGAGGCTTCGAGCATACTGTACCATAACATGGTTGTAACGGTTTCTGTGGAGAGGGATGTTTAGTCGAGTTCTTGTTGTTGACTGTGTTAGATTGTTTACTTACGGTTCAAGTCGTAGCCGCCGGAGTACCCTAAGTATGAGATGTCGATGTAAAGAACCATTCTTACTATTGAACAGGCAATTGCGCTATTGGGGTCAGCAATGATATTTATCTGACATTCTTAGGGGAGTCTCATACACAGCTCCAACACAAAATACTGCCGACACTTCAAGTTTCCGAGAAGTGGCCGTGTGCAGGCTCCAGATCTGCGAAGCAGTCAGTATGTCACAATTGCACTTTGCCTTTGGATGGTTACTAACCATAGGAAGAGGCAAAAGAAAGATCATCACATCCGTAATAAAGTCACTTATTATAAGAGCCATCTCGGCGGCCAACCCGTTTCCGCAGTACTCGGTGAATTGTGCCAGAGGAGCCCAATGAGCCCAAACCTTCGATTTGCAGCCAAATAAAAACAACAAGAAGAAACCTATTGTCCACATGACTGTCATCGCAAGCATCGCTGTGGATACAACGTTGAAGATAGTGCCTTTGGTGATGTTGAAGATTCTTCGGATGAAGCACAAAATGCTAAGTTTGATAAATCCATAGGCGAGGATGAGAAATAGCTGGAACCAGAATTCGATCTGGTTATTTCATTAGTATACAAGACGGAGAGCCCCTAGACAAATTTCAGAAGATGTAGTGTAACGTACCTTGGCTTCAATTGTGTATGATGGTATGACTTTTGTAGTTTGGTTCTCTGGCGTAATGTCCGAAGGAAGGACTGTTCGATAGCCATAAACATCTTTGGCAACCCCTATTCTTCTGTGAGCGGTTGTGTTTTCGCGAGAGAAGAACCATATATACCAACGATAAAACAAATTCCCAACGCAAATATCATAATCTATTTTTGTTAATAGGAGTTCGGATATACTATGCCCCAACAAAACATACAAGCGATGGAATGGTAAGCCAGTCATCTAAACCCAGGGCCACCTTTTGACTCTTCCGGGTATAGAATCGAAGTCCAACCATTGTAGCGCATACAAGTGGAAGAACTATGCCTGCGGACATAACTTCACCCGGGCCAACGTATATGAAAGGGATCTTTTTATAGGTTGTTGTGTCCATTTTGAAGTGATACACTTCAGAAAACTTGAACAAGCTTCGATTAAGACCTCAATAGGTAGAAAGTCCAATTGAGAAAAGAGAGCGCTAACTTCGAGCTTTGATATCGCAGCAGAGAGGGATGGAATTTGGGGTCATTTATTACTTCTTCCATTTCAAGTGCGCCGCAATATCCAGCCTGGTGGACTTAAAGGATCAAATTGTGTTACCGTCCATATACCTTTCTATATTAAGGCACTGAATATGTTTCTGTGAGGCACATGGGGCATATTTCCTATTGGAATGGCTGCCCGATATCTCATTGGGCCCCAGAATGGAGTAAATTTTACATTCTTTAGTAGGGTCATGTTCGATCGGGTTTCAGAAGGCAATGATTGGCACCACAACAGGGAGCTCGGTTAAACAGAATTCGGCCCCGAAAAGAACGGCATCGTATCTCCAGCTGACTCGAATTTCAGTAGGGAACTAGGAACAAAGGGACTGCGTTATGATAGGCTCCTACTAGGATTCAGCACTCCTTCTTTCATTAATTGGGGGGATAGAGGTGCATGTTTTGGGGGCAGTTGCATTCTTGTACAACAACGAAACCGGCTTTATATCCATCCTACCGCATGGTTCCTCCGTGGCTATCATACCTGTATTTGGTTTTGCAAGATTGGAAATCAGGATAAGTGTTGCTGGTGCGAATCGCGCATATCGATTGAGAAAAGATATAGCGAATACTGATTTGAGGAAGATCTGCGCCACGTACCTCATTGAGCGCCACACCCGCATGCCGGTAAATATATCCTTGCATCAGAAGAATACCCAACATAGAACAAATGGGGCAGCGCTTCTGTCCTTATCACCCAACTAAGTAGGTGGTAATATATGAAGCGTATGGCTAAGATACTACGGTAGAGGAGCTTGAGGACAGCCACTATACGTCTCTATTGAAGCCCGTTGTGTTGTGCAGCGTGTCGATCAATAAGGATTGGCGCCTTATCCTCCGAAGTACAACTACGTATTCTAACTACAAACGGCGCATATTTTCTCGTTTGCACAAGATAGAAAAGGCTCAAGTACTCGCACCTATGTCAGGCATTTGAATTGCTGTTACAGCTATAAACAGACGAATTCGATTTAACTAGAAGAGAGCTTGTTAATGATTTGAGCTAAGTAAGCAGTGTCATATAGATGCAGAAAAAATACATTTATCACGTAGACACTTGCCCGATCACACATGCGGTCGTGAAGTGAATCTGATATTGTTTGGAAAAAACCACAAGTACGGTAGGCCTATCGGGGATTGACTCCTGGAGTAGGATTGGAATTTGCCTGAAAGTCTTACCCTAATTCGATATCGGTATCTTTATGTTGATGATCAATGCGTAGATGCATGTGGTGGAAGCTAAAAGATTCCAAAGAACCGGGCAATGTGTTGACGTATTGGTAATGTACTATGGCACTCACATGCTGAAGTGGACGCTGTAAGCGAGCTTCAACTCCCTAAGCAAGCATAATTGCGTAGGGAAGAAACTCAAAGGAATTATCCTCCATCTAATTACACACCTCAGCCATCTTCGATGATGTAATTATCGTTCCAAGAGCTTTCTTGCTTTGCACGAGTATCCTTAGGTCATACAATCTGATTATAATCATCCCGACTTCATCTCAACTGTAGCAAAATGACTAAAACATTTCACGAGCAAGATTACTCGCTACTAGCTGACCACGAAAAGGATCGCATCTCTAGTGGCTCGGACTCCGGATCGTTTGTGCGAACGGGATACTCTAACAAAAGATTCAGCCTTCGATATCTTGTCATAGGGATTTCTCTCTTGGGGTTGTCTATTGTCCTCAATGTTGTGCTAGCACTAAAGGTGTTTGGGGTTGAGGTTCAAGATTCAACAGGAACAACTACCTCGATTTATGGTAAGACAGATTCGGGCACGCAGCTCTGAGACAAGCGCTAAAAGTCCACAGCCAAACTACCGCAGAATATCGATGATTCGATAATTTGGAATACAGAATTTAGCGGAGAGAATACAACCGAGGTTGACAGACTTTGGTACGATACTATCCCTTGGGAGAGTGGTATAATTGCTCTACGAAACTCGGAGGCAGAGTCCATGGGTCTTCCACTTTCGCAGCCCTTCCCTTGGGATGGGAAAGAAAAGAGCACATACATTATTAATGGCCACCATATCTTGCATTGCGTTGTAAGCTTTCCCAATAGCCAGATCACCTGAGTACTTTCTGATAACAGTTCCAGCGAAACATCTACATTTCAATTCAAGAATACCGCAATCACCAGGAACAAAGTATTTTTTATCCACATATACTACACTGTTTAGACAGCATTCGGCTCGAAACCCTTTGTGCAGCTGATGATACACCACGTTATGTCCCATTCAATGGTGAAAACGAGAAGAAACCCGGTGATGGTCAGATCCGCAAGTGTCGAGACTGGAGTAAGCTCGAGAAATGGGCACAAGACCACGATGCATGCTACAGGTACATTGAACCCGGCAATGACGAGATATCGAACCTTGAGCGCTTCAAATTTTGTGCCAATGATTCCCCTTACGTCCCCATAATCCGTGGTTACTTTGGTTATGAGGATACATGGCTACCAAGAAAGGAGACAATTTAGGGGCTATGGGCAGGCTTTTCATCATGTGTTCAATCTTCTGTACTACTAGCAACTTCCATAATAAAATATACAGAAATAAACACCATAGCATCAATGAAATCATATGACAATGTGATCAGTTTGCTACACGTTCAAAACTTTTGAACTGTTAGTCTCTCTTTATTTATTTATTTATTTATTGCTATTTAACGTCAAGCGGAGTCTAGCTCGCGTGGGCTAGGTCCTAGAAGAGTCCCAATATGG